CACCTGTGTTTCTGGAGCGGCAGGGATGTCCTGCCTGGTACCCTCTCTCTGGCTCTGTTGTTGCTACGGCAACTCCATGTCTCTGCTCTGGCAATTCTGCTGCTGAGGGACAAGGAGAGCAGAGGGGCTAGAAGGGCTGAGGCAAGAGACCCCTGCCAGCCGGTGGCAGTGCCCCAGACCCTTCCAGCGAGGTCTACAAAACAAACATTTCCTGAGTACCTGGCAGGCGTCTGGCCCTAAGGGAGGCGTGTGCTGAGGGAGCCCCCAGGGAACACAGACTCACAGCCGGGAGGAGGCACTCCAGGGTGGAGGGGCTGTAAGGAGCCCTCCTAAGGGGAAGGGTAAAAATTGCTGTGGTTTTTGCTGTTGAGCTTATTATTGGTCAGGCCCTAAGCTAAATGCTTTGCATGTGCCCTTTTCACTTCCCTTCTCAAGGGCTCTATGAGGTGAGCAATACTATTCCCACTTTACAGTTGAGGAAACTGAGGCAAAACCAAGGCTCATGGAAATGATGAGACTTGCCGAGCTGGGACACAGCACAGCTGGGATTTGAACACAGAGACCACGCTGTTAGACCCTGTGCTGCTTATTCTGAGTCTCTCAGTCTCGTTGGCCTTGGCACTGGCTTTGTCATGGGGGAAGTCTGGGACCTGGTGGGCGGGGCCTCACGTGCAGCCCCCACGTTGAGTGGACATATGGAGAGAAGGCAGGGGGCTGCTCTTCCTTGTTTCTTTCTGGATCATTAAATGTTCAGGCTGAGCAACTTTGCTGCTTGACGTGATGTCTTGCCTTGTTCTGGACGCATGGAGTTTGTGCAGCTTCCCTGCCTGGCCAGGTTATAAAATACCAAAAAGAGGTAACGAATCTGTGGAGAGGGCTGCTTAGGAACCACATCGGGCAAGGCTGTGGGTATCCACAGGGCTGAACGGCACTGACCTCCTGCCTGGCCTCGAATCTGGCTCTACTTACAGCATCTGCTGTAATCTCACTTGATTCCTGGGGTGGGGGTAGGTGGGGTACGTATGGGCTGACTCACCGTCCTGGGCTGGGAGATCTTGGGGCTGACTTGTAGCTTCCAGACCCCTGAGGCTGATTCAGCACTAGCCATGCCTTTTGTAAGATACTCAAGGCCATTGTCAGTCCTTGGGGGTCCAACCGCTGTCCCAGGAGACCTTTGGTCTAACATAGCCCAGTCCATTCTTCAGGAGTAGGTGTACGGTAAGGCCATGGGGCTGTGCCAGTCATCTCTGGCCAGTTGGGAAGACAGCCAAGGGTGGCTGATGAGAAGAAACAAGATGTGGGTCTTTGCTTTCTATTTCTTTTCTAAATAAACTTACTGCAAATATCATTGACCAGTGGGTTTGAAAGGAACAAGTTTGACAAAACTCTTCCTAACTCCCTACCCCACTCTTGTTCTGAAAATCTCACTTTGCACTTTTAAGACCTACCTGTTCCCATCAAGAAAAGAAGAAATGTCTTTGAACATCTCTGAGGTTTCTGTGGTTCCATCTTTCTGGGAGCTAATTTGTTGTTGACAGTTTTATTTTCTGGTTTCTCTGTGGAGCTGTAGAGAAACATCAAAGGATGGAAAATGCCATTTTCACCTATAAAGCAGAGCCCTATGCTGTGCAGGAGCAAATAAACCAGGCTTGGGCTCAGATGAATAGAGTACAAGCATTTGGGAGACAGAACAATTATGTGGATTTGATTTTCTTTGGGAAGGCTCTTCATGTTTTAGGGAGTTACACTGTTACAGCTCCAACTCAAAGCTAACCTGGTTGTTCTCATATTCCTCTCCTGCAGGCCTCAGAGCCACACAATTTCACTTTGAATTATTTAGCACCCTTCTTTGATCTTGACTTATTTTGCAGCCATTGGTCATGTCTTCCTATAGACCTAGTTCCTTGGGGATGGAGCCCTTGTCTTATACTTTTGTTTCCCCCATAGTGCCCGACCCAGGTGGATCTAGCACATGGTGTTGCTCAGTACTTGGTTAAATACCTTTTCCTCACTCTTTGGTCAGAATGATTGAATAAATCCCAGGCAGTAGTTTTTATGTAAGGTGCTTGATGGTGAATCCACATACAGCAAGTTGGTAAGGACGGAAGGCAGTGACTACTTCAAACAGGCTTTGTGCACAGAGATGTTCACTGCCGTATTGTTTATAATAGCAAAAAAGTGGAGACAACTTATTCCTCAACAGGGGAGGCTGGGTAAATTAGGGTACATGCATACAGTCAGTGAGATAAAAAGCAGCTGTTTTAAAGAATGAGGTAGAACCTAATGTTCAAAAAAGATATCCAAGAAAAGTTAGATGGTATGATACCATTTATGTAAGAAAGAACAAAAGGGATCATCTTTTATTTTCTCCTGCACACTGTAGGGTTCCGCTTTATAGATGAAAATGACATTTTCCATCCTTTAATGTTTCTCTACAGCTCCACAAAGAAACCAGAAAATAAAACTGCCAACAACAAATTAGCTCCCAAAAGGAACCACATAAACCTCAGAGATGTTCAAAAAGGGACACATATGGACACATACATAAAAAAAATTTTGAAGGATGCACAGGAAATTTAATATTGGTTATCTCTGGGGAGTGGACTGAGAAGTTGGGAGGGGGGCCTTTAATCTGTTCCTTATTTTTTCTGTCAGCAGTTGAATTTTTTTATCATGACTGTATTGTTTTTGTTTTAAAAAAAACCAAACTAGTTAAACAAGCAACCTATCTTTGGAAGGCAATGAGAAAAGTTAACTCTAGAAGAGGCCCCTCCCAGGTGGTGGAGGGGACGGCCAAGGCGAGGTGAAGGCACCGCTGCCCTTTGCTGTGCGCTTCTTGGCTGCCTCTGCCTTCCGTCGTCTGGCCAAACCAAACAACCTTCCAGCTCTGTCCCATAAGGCGGGACTAGATGGACCATGAGAACGTTCTGAATCACAGCCTGGGAGAGACTCAAGTTAGGACTTCCTGGACATTCACTGACCACCCCCAGCTGCCACCGACCCTGCTCTGGAGGCTGGCCACATACCCCACGCAGTGAACACGGTGCTGCTCACAGTTAAGAACTCCATAGTTGTGGGGTGAGTCAAGTTGCCGTCTGACTCAAAAACCACCCTTGGCTCGCCACTGCTTGTTGCACGAAGTCCACGTTTGCCTTAGATTAGCGTTCAAGGGTTTCCGTGGTTCAGCCCTACTCTACTTTTTCAACCTTATTTGCCACGATTTCTCAGTATATACCAACATATATGCCAGCACTGCCTGGGTTGGAATCCTGGCTTTGTTACTTGCCACCGTGTGACCACAGACAAGCCACTTAGCCGTTCTGTGCCTCAGTTTCCTCATCTGGAAAACAGAGAGGATAAGAACAATACTCATCTCATAGGACTGGCATGGAATTATGTGAGTTAATATACACAAGTGTGTGTAGAAGGGTGCCTGGTACACAGTAGGTGCTGCTTCAATGCTGCCTGCCTCTTTGCTTTCCCACCTTCACTCCATGGTTCTGGCTGGAATGCTTTTCCTGGTCACCATCCTACTGATCTTTCAGAGGCTGTATCGGGAAGGACCTCACCATGAGGCCTTCCCTAACCACCTCAGGTATCAGTGGTTCTTGGACTTCCTGCATCACCAGGGAATCTGGTGAAATGCAGATTCCTGTGTCCAACTTCTGGAGATTCCACCGAAGTCTGTGGCACAGCCAGGAACCTGCACCCAGGTGATACCCATATGTGTAGTGCAGGGTCACACTTGGAGAAACAGGCTCTCACTGGTCTTTGAACCCATTAGCTCTGCATTTTGATCTGTCTTGTGGTGCTGTTCATAGGCGAGTACTTGGAAGGTCACCTTATGCAGTCCCTCCTAGGGGCACGGGCTCGGTCCTATTCATTTTTCTGTCTTCCACAATGCCTTGAGCATGTGAGGCTCCCCACGAATGCTTGTGGACTATTAACGACCAGCTAGGAAGAAGTACTCACCAGCTTTTGCCTCCCCTGTCCTCTCTCTGCTTCTCACGTCTACTGTGAGTGGGTGCGCTCGAGAAGCCTGTGCTGAAGCTGATGGCACTCGGACCACAGATCCCAAGCAGGCTAACTGGGTTCTCCCAGGTCTATCTTCCAGTTGCTCCATAGGGAAAGCAGTCCACTCGGGTTTTCTGTAGCTTTCCATTTGGAAAGGAAGTGAGAAGGCTTCCTCAACTAGGGGTGCCATCGGTCACTTGGGGGAAGTTTCAAAGATAGAGCCTTGCCCAACCACTCCAGATTGAATTCTGGGCACCATGTAGGTTCAAGGTGGGGTCTGGGCAATTGACTAGGCTTGCTGGGTGATTTGGATGACACCCTTGGTTATGAACCAGAGTGCTAGTCAGGGGTTATCAACCAGGGCTGTTTCCTTCAGCAAGGCACGAAGATGGGCTGGCGCTTTTGAGGACGTAGGGCCCTCCCCCAGCTTAACCAACCTCTTGGCCTTGGGCCAGCCCTGCTCATTTCACCCTTGTCACAGATGCAGCAAATACAGTCCTGGAGCATTTTGCAAAGCGCGTGAGCAGAGGCTGGGTAAAGCCCAGCACCCTTGGGAAGGAAAAAAGACTCCTTGGAGAAAGAGGGTGGGGGCTGTCAGTGGAAAGGCCAAAGTGCACTAGAGGACTAGAAATCCTCCATTTAAAAGACAATCTCTTTCTTCAAAAACCAAAAGCTTCCTGTTACTTCCGGCTCCTACATTTCTTAGCACGTGTCAGCTCTGTAAAATAAGGTCTTGGGCTGGAATGCGCCCTACAACCGGCTTTCAAAGGCCCTTTCTGGAACTCTGCAGGCAGCATACAAGTTGCCTCAAAGACAGGCTAGAAATATTCTATTTTGTTATTTTTTAAAGTTTGCTGAAAGTGTAAGAATAAAAGGGGAGTGAAAGCATCTCATCAATAGTCAATAGGAAATCCACCCCCTCTCCAACTCTGCCCTGGGAGCCTCACAGATTTCCTGAAGTTAAAAACAAACACTGTGACTGTTTCTACTCCTTGCAAGATTTAATTCTTCCTTTAATATAAATAAGGCAGCATGAAACACCAAGAGCCCCACTGCTTTCTGCTTCAGAAGCAGCTTTGGTGCACAAAAGATTGCTGTTTCCCCACTGAGTTCTATAGTCTCCGTATAAACAAGAAGCCAGAAGGGTATTTTTACAGCGAACTTTCTCCCAGAAGCAGAGGGGAAGCTGAGGGAGATCCAGGCTTGGTCTTGGCTTCTGGAGGATGGTTTTTAGTTGCTGGGGTCTCTTCAAAGCACAGTGGGATCAGGATGAAGAGGGGAAAGGCAAGGGTGATAATAAATAAGGAAATTCGCTCTGATTCTAGAAATGCACTTGATGGAATTGGGGGTGGTGATGCTCAGGGCCGTTCTTAGAGACACACTTGAGCAAGTTGATCCCCTGGAGTGCCCGGCTGGTGGCTGGGAGGCTGGGGAGCAGTAGACCCAAGCCTGTGCTCAGTCTAACTCCCACTCACACAAGAAGGCTTCCTACAGGCTCCGTTGCCGTGACCACAGCCAAGCCTCCCACTGTGAATTAACCCCAGCAGGCAAATGGTCCATCTTCCTGAGACTTCTAAGGCTAGGTGAGAGGGCTCCAGGGGGTAGGGGAAGGAGCACCTTTCTTCAGTTCCCAGTGAACCTGGGCACCCCTGTCGAGTTGGTTATGCTGTCTGGGAGGCATGGCTGGCTTAAACCCTGGAGCTGTAGCTGCGCCTGGAGGAGGAAGTGGTGTGGCTGGAGGCAGAACACTGGTATAGTCTTAATTCTTGTGTTTCCTCCTTGGTCCTCTGAGGTGATGTTGAGAGAGGAAATCTCAAAGGGCCAGTGAAACCGCAGGTGAAGAGGCTTCCTGACCCTCTTGAACCAGACCTGGAGATGCAGCCCAGCTCCAGCTGCAGGCTCTGGCACCCACCCAGTGACCACAGCCCCTGGCAGTGCCAAGGTGTCCTCTCTGAGGCCTGGGGGCTGTGGCCACAGTGCTGTCCCTGTGGGTCCCCAGTCAGCTGAGCCTCTGCTCTTGGGGTCTGGGTCATCTGTGTGATCAGCAAGGCCCATGCAGTAAGGTGGGTTCTGGGCAGTGAGGGAGCCCCGCTGAAGTGAGGAACTGGGGGGACTTGGGACCTGCAGACTGAAGCTGGGTTTCCACAGCAGCTCTTGCTTCCAAGCACACCCTGCCCTGGGATTGGGACCCTGAGACAATCCAGGGCTACAGCACCCCTCACCCCTGGGCTCTGCAACTTCCTCTGAACTGGGCCAGACTGCAAGCCAGATCCCAGCACCTGGGTACCAGGCCCTGTCCCAGCCACCCTGTCTGTGCGTCTCTTTCTCTAGATCAGCTTCCAGCATCAGCATCTGCCCTCCCCCTACCACACTGGTGGTCAGAGAGACCAGCTGTGAGGGTAATAGAGACAGGTGAGGGGCTGCTGAGCTGGCATCCAGCATGGTAAATAACACCCAGTGTTCGAGACATGGCATGCTGAGTGGAAGGGGGTGCACCCGAGTGAGAAGTGTAGCTGAAAGGCAGCCAACCTCAAGCTTCTCTCTGCCATCAAGTACCCATTCCCATGTGACAGAGACATTAGCTGCTTGGGACCTCGACTCTCTAACAGGTCTTTTCTCTACATAGTATAAAAAAGTGGCAGCTACAGTGACAGCCCTATTGCTGTGTGGGATGTGGATCAAAGGTTCTGTCCCTGTTAGTGCTTTGGCTGCAGGTGGCTGGGGCCAAGGGTTCTTGGGATTAGGGGTGATGAAACAGGTCCCTGTCAACATTCTTGTAGAGCCTCTGCTGTTATTCAAGTACAGACTGGACCTTGGATGGAAAACGAATTACACCGAAACCAGTGACTGCATTGTTGCTAATTCAGGGTCCACAGTGTTCTTTCATCATCTTGGCCATTTGTGGCGATGCAGAATTAAGCTGTAAAGGATCAGTCCCCAAACCCAAACAAGAGCTTTACCAACATGCCCCAATGGCGTGAAAGCAAACCAGCTTCCAGTTGTATCGTTTTCTCCTCATTGTAGGGCCTGGCTTCCTGGCAGGCTGAGCCGTGGCTCCCACCAAAGCCTGCCTTGTTCCCAGAACAGGGCTTGCAGATGCCCCGGGGTCTGAACGTGGGGGTTGCCCTCATCCTGGCATCCTGGGTCCCACGTGCTCTACAAGGCAACAGCTTTTTGGGGCAGGCTGGTATGGTCTGCAGGGACATGAAGGGAATACTCGCTGATGAGTGCTGGGGCATTCTTGAGCATCTCATAGAAGGAATCCACTGTCTTACGGTAGAGATTTCGTTGCAGGACAAAGGGCCGGAAGAGGTTGAGAGGCTCAGCCCTGCGCACGGCCTCAGGGAGTCCCATGGCCTCGGGCACCTTGCGGTTGCCGATGAAGAAGTGATGGAGCTTCTTCTCGAGCAGGCTCTTCTCCAGGAAGCAGAGCAGCTCGTGCAGACGAGCACTGAGCTGCCCGGCCTTCCAGTCGGTGGCCCTCCGGAGGAGCAGGAGGTGTAGCAGGGCCGTCTTCACGTGGTAGGTACTGAGTCCGCTGGGGCCGGTCAGGCGGCTCTGCTTGGAGAGCAAGAAAGAGGCGATCTGCAAGCAGCTGAGGTGGCAGGCACCCTCGGGCAGTGCCTTTAAGGTTGTTCGGAGGAAGTGTCGCTCATAGACTGCAAAGGACAGAAGCCAGTCAGTGCTGGAGGCCGAGGTCCCCCAGGAGGGCTCCCTGGGAAGGTGGGAGACAAAGTACAGGTCTGAGTCGTCACACTGTATCGCAGGAATCAGGTTGAAGGGCATGAACTTCCCTGAACGGAACTTGATCTTGAGGGACCCTGGGCTGTCCAGCTGACGAAAGGCCAGGTCGAACTCATACTTGCGGGCGATGCGGTGCCAGGCTCTGGTGAGGGCTGTCTGGAACCACTTCATGACTTCCATCGTGTCCAGGTAGGGGGAATCTCTGGCACACAGCAGGTCTTCCATCTCGCCACTGGGCTGCACCAGGTTGTTCTTGCCGTGGAGGAGACACAGCATGTCTTCCCCCAGCTTGGTCTTGCCGCAGATACAGCCCAGGGCATCCCTGTCGGCCCGGACCACCTTAATCTGGCCATAGCCCTGGCGATCCAGAGGCACAGAGCGGCTGGAGCACCAGAGCTCCGAGTGGAAGCGGTAGGGCTCTGGGGGCGTGAAGGGCACAAAGAGGTGACACACCAACGGCCTGTCCGCCTGCCAGTTCTCATACATGCTATCCACGCCAATGAAATCCTCCACCTCCATGTCTGTGTCCCGATTGCAGAGGCTCCTCAGGGCTTCCAGCAAGTCGTCCACGAAGCCTTCCACGAATTCCCGGGTGCGGGCAGCGTCTGCCGTGGCCCCCCGGATGCAGCGTTCATAGAAGTGGCTGAGGGCGGCCTTGTCGGGCAGGGTGAGGCCTCTCAGGGGGGTGCCCCCCAGCGCAGGCAGCTCATCCTCATCACCGCCCAGGCACTCGGGCGAGGGCCCGTCCTGGTGGTCCTGCCGCCACACCTCGATCATCAGAAAGAGGATCATGCAGAGGGTGCTCCAGAGGTCCCAGGCCGCGCGGGTCTCATTCTGCTGCTTGCCCTCCTCCGCCACCCGCTCCAGGGCCTCCTTCTCGGCCGCCAGCCGCGCCACCTCCTCCTCCAGGCGCAGCTGCTCCAGCTGCAGCTTCTCCTGGTGCGCCTGCATCTTGCGGAGGATCTCCTCCTCGTTCTCGGGGACCGTGGCGTTCTCCCGCGGGAACAGCAGCGGGTGGTTGATGATGGCGGTCACCACCACCAGGCACACCCGGAAGAGCCCCATGGCCATGGCCGGAGCTTTCCTGGGAACAGAGAGACCGACAGTCAAGCCAAGCTTCCCTCAAGGCCCCTTCTTCCCTGGGCCCTCGCAGCGCCCTCTGCCCCCCAGGGCTGGCGAGTGTCTCGGTTCTCCCGCCCAGGCCACCGCTGCCCTCCCTGAGATCTCCGCAGGCGCTGCTTGGGAGAAAGAACCCCAAAGGCCTACACCTGCGGCGCGATCTCGTTCTGCCCAGACATTCCCCTTACTAGTAGCGGCGCCCCACTGTCCCTTGGGAGACAACCCTTTTCTCCCGCCACTCCTTATGGCTGAGGCGGGGACAAATCCACCTCCAGGATCCAGGTGTGGGCGCGTCCAAGGCAGACTTTTCTACCCCTCACCTCAGCTACAGCAACAGTGATTGGTTCTGGGATGAGCATGTGACCCAGTTCGGGCCAATGGGAGACAGATGTTAGGATGCATGCGGACCAAAGATCCATCCTCCTGTTGCTAGGGTTGCGGAGGGAACAGGATTACACCTACAGGGGTCTCTCAGAAAGGAGAGCCTGCCTAAGACACCAACAAAGAGAAAAGCAGACCCCTGCCCCCATTCAGCTGTGCTCGAAGCCATTAGTGTCTTGAGCTTTTTAGTCATACAAGTCAATAAAGAAGTCTTTTTTCTTTAAGTCAGTTGCAGTTGTTTTGCCACCACCTGAAACCAAAATAGTCCTAAATAAAACATCCCCTTTTACTCCCAGTGAGTGGCATCTTCCTGCAATACAGTAAAGCCTAGTGGTTAAGAGAGAGAGAGAGAGAGAGACAGAGAGAGCTAGGTTCCAAAGCCAGCCCTGACACTGAACAGCTGTGTGACTTTGGGCATGTTAACAGACCTCTCTGAGCCAGATTTCTTTACTGTACAAGAGGAAAACAATAGTATCCCACAGGGTCATGGTAATGATAGATGTGATGATCTGTGCAAACGGCCTGGCCTGGTAAGCAGTGCATAGCACATATTCATTGAATAGTAATTTCCTGAAGTAGTTTTGAGCCCCAATATTCCTCCATTGTAAACTTCTGATCTGGAAGACCTCACCCCAAATCCAGACTCAGATCCCCTGGCCTTCAGTCTTTCCCAGGACAATCTTGGCAACAACCAGAGAGCAACTGAGTCACTGGTTTCTTCTCAGAGGCATCTGAACTTTAAATCTGACTTCTTAATTGTGAAAGGGGGCACTCCATTCCCCCAGGATAAATGGATTTTTAAGCCTTGAGTGACTTTTGGGGAAGGGCTAATCCTTAGAATCTTTGCAATTTCAAATTGTGATCAGCAGACCAGTAGCTGCAGGATCTCCTGGGAGCTTGCTAGAAATGCAGAATCTGTATTTTAATACCATCCACATTCAAGTCTGAGAAGTGTTGCCTCACAGCAGAAGCCTTACTTACACACTCTCCTCTCCTCAGCAGCAACCTTGGGAATGAACAATCTGTTATTTCCACACTTGCCAGCTCCCTTCCTGCCTGGGACCTCTGTGACGAGACCAAATGGCCAAATGCAAATCAACTGAGGTCCTAAGATTGTTGTTGGACAACAAAGAGGACATCAAGTGTTTCTCCCACCCCACCCCCATTACCCTGTTGTGCATGCCAACACCACTGGTAGGAGCTTCTGGGTAGGACCGAGCTCTATCCCCTTGGGATTTGAGCCCCTGACCTTGAATTTGCACAGTGAAATTCTTGTTTTAGTGGTGTTTAGGAGCAGGCATTTGTCACCAGGTGAGGATACTTCAGGTTGTCCCTGGTAAGGGGTGGGATATAGATGGCCTGAGTTGTTTGCCAGCCACACGTGGGCAAAGCTTGCCGCTCACATGTGACTCAGACAGCCCCACCCCTGCACAGCTGGATATGTCGGCAGGAGCCAAAAGTGTTGGTGGGAGGGAGGTCCTGCGTGGAGGAGGCAAGTTCAGGCCTCAGAGGTGAACTCTGCAGCACTTATAGGTTTCCCCTTGAGGAGGAAAAGGGGGACAAGAGAGAGTGGAGGAAGTCACACTGGAAGGTGGGTGGGGTGGAAAAAAGTATAAGGGGTAGCAAGCCAGCTTTCTCCCCCAAGCCCAGGAGCAGCTTGCTGGATGACTGCAGAAACAGGTCAGCCCTGGTTTCTGCATCAGAGGAACTTGACGGAAAGTGTTGCCAGGGTGGTCCAAGGGATGACTGTAAGGCTGGCTGATTAATGTGCGTGAGAGATTTAAGATAAAGGTGTGCAGTGATAACAGTGGAATAATTTGGGGCTTTTGAGGTCCTTCGGGGCCCCTGTATCATAGGCAGCCACCTTTGGGCACAGCAGGCCTTGACCAGTCACGGTAATAGCCCCGGCAGGAGGGAGTCAGTTTCCATGTCATCTCAGGGAAGGACGCCACCGACTGGGGAGTGGTGCCATTGCCAAGTCCCATGACTGGGAAGCCCTCCTGGTCTCCACCCCACACCTTCCCCAGCACTACCTGCATACACTTCATGCCTCTCAGAGGAGGAAGGGCTACAGAAGCCTCCTGGCCCTGGGGCACGTGGTTCAGGACTCTAAACCAACTGGAGAGACCTGTTGCAAGGGCTTAAGAGGAGAGACTCTAGAGGAGACAGACCGGGTGCACCCAGCATGTGCACCTACTGAAGGTGACCTTGGACAAATCACTCCGATTTGTCAGAACCTCAGTTTCTTCACCTGTAAAATGAGAATAATAAAACTTCCTGTAGTAAAGCTTGAACAAGATAATGTAGGCAAAGCACTGAGCAAAATGCTTGTTCCTGAGCAAGTTTTCTCACAAAGGGGTAGCTGTGATGGGCTGGGAATACACAGATGACCTTGCCTGCAGGCATCCAGGATGGAGTGGGCCACATGGATGCCCCCACAAGGAGCCCTGGCAGGATGCAGGCAGCCCACAGTAACACTGACAACTGCAGGGTTACAAACAAGACCCAGTAGGAAAAAAAAAAAAAAAGACCCAGTAGGAACACCAGGGAAAAAGAGGGCAACAAAACAGGAGGAGGCCAGGCCGTGAACACAGCTGACCTGCATTTGAACCTTGATTCCTTCCCTTGCTGAGTGATCCTGGGTGGTTCCCTTCGCTTCTCTAGGGCGCCCATGCTTTGCCTGTGAAGAGTTAATAACACTCCATCCTTCTTAGGAATACTGAGAAGGTTAAGTGAGGTAACACATTGGGTGTTTAGCACAGTGCCTGGTGTGGGGTGAGCTCCTTACCCCTCAGCACCCACAGGCCTCTGCTTTCTCACCTGCCAAGCACACCAGCCCTGCCCAAGTCCCAGGGGCGTGGAGGAACACACGCTCAAAAGTGCTTTGAAAGCACAAAATGCTCCGCTGTTATTGCTGTTCCTTGGCACATCCCTCCACCCACCCTGGCCCCCAGCAAGTGGGGAGAAGGCTTCAGAGCCTGGGATCCTCCTGCAGGTCGGGAGTTCCCTCTGACTCACTTCCTCACTTAAGCCATCTCCTCCACTTCCCTGGGATCAGATCCCAGCTGTCATTTTGCTCCTTGTTCAACTCTGCACAGGCTGTGTCTGTAGCACCCTAAGGGATGGGCAGGGAGGGCCTGGGTGGGGTGGAGAATGGGGGCTGTGGCTGCTCAGCGTCCACTACATGGGGCTGAGTTTGAAGCCTTTGCCACTTCCTCTTCCCAAACCATGGGGAACACTGCCCTGGGGACCCTGGGGCTCAGAAGAACAAAGGGAAGGAATCAGGTGTTCTGACATTTGGAGACGGGACAGGTGGCTGGGAGCCTCCCACGCACCCGGTGCACGTACCTGCGCACTCACAAACAAGGAGCTCCTTTCCCCTGACTTCAGGATGTGCATATCCACCTTGGCCCAACACTCTCATCTCTACCAGGCTCTCTCACACCTGCAGTCTGAGACATCAGCTGATGGGTTTGGCTTTTAGAATAAACCTGGGCCACTTGGCGGGTTTTTGTCTGACTGCTGGCCAGGAAGCCGGCGGGAAGCCTGCTGAGTTCCTCTCCACCCCCGCCCTTGCCCACAGAGAGAGGCGGCCCATGCAGCTCACAGCTAAACTTAGCCTGGCAAAGGGCCAGGGTCACGGGGCAGCAGGGGCTGAGGGAAGACGGTGGCCTCTGGGTGGGCCTGGGGAGAGGGCTGCAGGTGGCTGCCAGGACCAGTGGTTTACTCAGACCCGTACTCTGAGGCAGCCGGAAGCCCAAGACCCTGGGTGAAAATCTGAGATGGCTCCCTTCCTTCACGGGGGTCTTCACTCCTGGGTCCCCAGAGCCTAGCCCACTCCCCACCGCAGCCTGATCCAGCGAACACCGCCAAGAGTTGTCTGATAGCCATAGCTTCCATTCCTCGGGCCCTCACCAGGATGTGCTGGGCTCTGCACAGTGACCACTGTAACTTGCTAAGAGGTGAGTGTGATCCCTGTTTCGCAGATGGGTTACCCAAAGCCCAAGACACTATGTAATTTTCTAGCCACAAGACTAGAAAAGTCATAGCTGGGCCGAGATTCAAGCCCATTCTGTCAGCCCAAGTTTTTCCACCGTGCTACATTTACAGAGCACCTACTGAGCTCGTGGAACATGCTGGATGCTTCAGGGCCCACGGTGATGTGTATGGCATGATCCATGGTAGTAAAAACATACAGTCCATGCAGGAAAGTAGACAGCCACTAATGCAGTCCCAAGACACAACGAGATGTGGGGCATAAAAGGCACATGAGCTATAGGCTACAAAAAATGCAGAGGTGGGGGGAGAGTTTTATTCCTGTTCTCTGGGGGCCTTTCCCTGTCTGGAGACCTCCCCTGTCCCCACCTGCTGGGGAGATGTTGGTGTGTACCCCCTCGGCTCCGTATTCACCCCCTCCCCTCCTTCCAGACAGAATCCCTACAACAAACCAGGAACAGTTGGAGCCTGAGTCCAGTCCCATAACCTGTTCATCACACCCCTCTGCCCCACCGCCCACCTATTCCCACCCAGGGTTGGATGGCTGTGGCCTCAGCTGCAGGGGTGCCCAGGACCCATTTCTCAGCA